TAGAACTTACAGTTACATCTAGCCATAGGAAGTAAAATAAAAGAAAGAAACAATAAGAAACTTAAATATATGTCAAATTTACAACTGAGCTCGCTAGATGGAACCGTAGGTTCTATGCTAACAGTTTCTTCTATTGCACTTCTCACTTGTGGAATTCTCTTCTGGCTTCTTGCTTCCCAGACAACTTTGATCTTAAGAAATTTAAATGCAATGTCAATTCTTATCTTCTGTCTTGATTAGTCCTCTATCGCTCAGATGCCTTAATAATATGTCTCTTTTTTCCTTATTCTTTCACACTCAGTAACCACTTGTGCTTTAATGGCTTGAAATAAAAGAATACAGAAAAAAAGGAATATGAAAAAGTCAGGGTAATATCAAAAATATAAAATAATACAGTAATCTTAATGTAGGGAGCCTATATCCCTATAGACCACATGGGAGTTGACAGGGTTTACAACGATAACATAATAAAAATAAAATGGAAATAAACAGAAAAACATAGAAAAAATAGCATAAATATAAGAAAAATCTGAAAGAAAATGAAGGAAATTAGGAATTAATCTGGGAGAATAAATGATAATTTAAATAATCCCATAATAATTTTAAAATACTCAAACATCTGTGATTAAATTTGTTAAAGCTATGCCAATAAAATGACTGACATTTTAATAATCAGGTTAATTTCATAAAAGTTAATGAAATTTTTGTTCAATAAGATGAAAAATTAAAAAATGTAAAAGTATTTTAAAAAATATAATTAGGAAAAAAATCAAGGGACTAGCATTTTTATTATTTGATGAGAAATAATAAATGTTTGGATTATTGGGATTATTTGATGCAAGACTGGTAAAGAACTTATGTTGTTGTTGTTGTATGCAAAAGAATAAAGGACAATAAAGCAGAATTAAAAAAAAATTAATTTTGTTATTCTATTTAATGCAGTCTGGAAAAAAAATCTGAAGAAAGTAAAAGCATTTTAATGAGAAATAAGACAAGAATAAGAAAGAAAGAAAGATGTGAAAGAAAACTTGAATGTAGAAAGAGAAAAAAGAAGGAAACAAGTAACTAAAATAATGAAGAAGCAGACAACGGAAGAAATTTTTAAAACATTGGAAGGAATGAAGGAAGTAAAGAGAGGGGAAGGGAGAAGGAAAGAAAAGAGGAAGGAACAGGAAGGATAGGAAGGAGTGGAAAAGGGAAGGAAGGAGGTAGAAAAAGGAGAGGAAGGGAGGGAGAAAAGGATAGGACAGGAGGGAGAAATGAAAGGTAGTGAGGGGCAGAAGTAAGCAAGGGAGGCATGGAGAATGGGAAAGACAAAGAAAGAGAGGGAGGAAGGAAAGGAAGGATAAACTGAAAAACATGTAATAGTATAAAAGATCTCTCCCTAAATTTACATTTAATATTGCAATTGTTATAGAATCCCTTAAAAGGATCTTTGTACAACTCTTATCCCCTCCACTATTTTTCAGTTAAGCACTTTGATCAAAACCTAATAGAGATCTTTCTATTGGTTTTTAATCCAAAGCTGACTGGTTACCAATCATGGTTAACAAATCCAGTCTATCTTGCTATTTAATTTATAGCTGGGAGTAGAAAAGATGGACTCATGCCTTTCCCAGGAGTATTGGCATGTAAGAGAATTTAAGAAGCTCAAAAGAAATTCAAACTCAGCTCTCCAATTCTTCATTCCAAATCGGTGTCAATTGCACCACCTGCACATCCACAATACTATTAGGCAAGGTAAAAATATTGTTTGTCTGAAGTGTTTGAGTAAACAATGGATTGTGAGACACTTTAGATTTGTATATAAAATGTAGAAGGATTTTTGAGACATTTTCTGAAAGAAAAAAAGAGATCTCATAAATGTCATTAATTCCTAATGAAGAAGAAATGAATGAATAAAAAAAAACAATGAAATATCAATTAAAGATACAAGACAGCAAGGAAAAATAGCAAAAAAAAAAAAAGAAAAAGGAATTAACAAAGTGCACAGATACAGGAGTCACTTATCTTTGGTCAAGATAAATCACATGGGTCATATGATGACCGCTTAATGATGTCATTACAGTGACAAAAGCAACAGTCAATTTTCAGTGTTGTCAATAGCAGCCAAACTGAAAGGTTGCTTTCTTTAGCTCAGGCACCCAATAGACCAGGCAGAGACTAAATCTGCCTCCTCAGCATCATAGTGCATCATCAGTCCATATATCTTTCCCAGTCTTCAATTTGGAAAAACCCAAGCTGTTTCCTGTTTCATGGAATATGTCCTTGCCTGGGACATAGTAGATGAATTCAGAATGTTTGAATATGGAGTCCTAAACATGTCTTCTCCAGACACAGGAGTATCTCCATATTATATGTAAGACCCTTCCTTCTTGTTTCTCCTTACACTCTGCTTTGCCATGTAGATATATGGGATATTTTTTCTCCATGTATTTATTGTAACAGAGCATATAAATTACATGACTCAAAATTTAAAATTTGAAAAAAAAACAGTTGAAATAATTGATACATAGCCAAGCCATAACATAGCAGACAACATAAAAACTGCCTGAGTGGTGATAAAGGTTGGTTGGGGGGTTCAGATGTTGTCTGGCTTAAATGGAAATTAGCTACACAAATTCAACCTAGATATAATTTTAACACTCCAAATTGTGGTTATAAAAAAGGGAAGATAAATTATTAACTGCTATGTTATGGGGGTGGCTATGTATCTATTATTTCAACTGTTTTTTCAAAATTTTAAATTTTGAGTTCCAATACTGAATACTGTCCACCATTTGAGTTGATTAATGCCAATATATTGACGTTGATTGAAATAGTTTATACTGTAATTTTGGATTTCCCTGTTTTGTTATATATAATATATATATATATATATATATATATATATATATATATATATCCGTCGAATTTAATTCAACGTATGAGTGTCAAGCAGATCAGTTCCTAGGAAACCGACAGCCCAACAACAGCACATAGTGGTGAAGGTTTTTGTGCAGGACCATCCACACTTTTTGAAGGGCTGAATACAGAGACCTGGTGCACTACATGCCACAAGGTCAGCAAATGACCCTCCGCAGGTTTTGAATTCAGAGTTGTCCTTCTCCTAGTCCAGTTGCCATCCAAGGCTATAAAACCCAGTCTGTCCTGCTATTTACCCATAGCTGGAGGGAGAAGAAGAGGATTCATACCTTTCCCAAGGGTATTAGCACGTCAGTGAATGTAATGGATTTGACTGTAATTTGAACTCAGCTCTGATTCCTCAATCCAAGCCACTATCCATTACCCCACCCCTTATATATATATATATATATATATATATATATATATATATATATATAGTTTTGTGTATGTCTTAGTGATATAACAGTCTCTCTGAGAACAAAGCATGTTTGTCATTCCTTTTCCTTTTAGCCATTCCATTCTGTCTGTGAAATACTATGGGCATTATTATATCCCTGATATAATAACACTGTATTTCACAGATATAATATTGCCCATAATGGGCAACATACAAATGGAAGAAGAAATCTTTCTTCCCTCTCTCTCTCATTATAAAAGCAAAAAAAGGAAAAGGAAATAAAATGGGGAAAATTAGGAATTAAAGTAAAACCTAAAAAAAAATTGATAGAAGGAAAATGAAAAATATAGAATGGAAATTTAAATGAAATTCAATTCAGTGATAGGAAGGAAGGAAGAATAACATTAAATGAATGAATTTGAAGAAGATTTAAGAAATAAGTAATGGAGAAAAACAGATTGAATGAATATGTAAAGATGTTTAGGGATGAAGAAAGGAATGAATGGATGAAGGAAATCAGTAGACAAACATTAAATAAATGAAATAGAAAGTAGATTTACAGATTGGTTGTTTGATTTATGAAGATTGACTTTGCACTATTGACATTATTCAGACTATGTTGCCATATTTATCACAATGTTTCAGCTGTTGTATGCTCCGGCATTCTTCAGGTGGTTGGAATGTTGAACTGAACCCTTTATTTCACTCACTGGGGTAGACTGTTCTAGTTCCACAAGCCATGTTTGATGGATGTCAGTTATCAGTTATCTCCTGTTAATTCACCTCTCCAAGTTCTCCACTGCCTTAGATCCTGTCACTGGATCTAACTAACACCTTTATCCACTGTGCCATGTGTCCTTAAGGACATCTGTGTATGAATGTATGGATTTCTGGGACTTATAAACTTTCAGCAATCATTTTTTTTTACCAGAACTCATATCGCAATTTTTGCTGTTATCATTGCATGTTTTTTTTTACCAGAGCTCATATTACAATTTTCATTGTTATTATTGCTTTTTCTCTGGCACCCCTTATTACTGGTTCGCATATTGTATTCATTTCTATGCTTGGTCAGCTCAGGAGATTTTTATGGCCTAGCATATGTGCTGATTCCTTAAATTTACGAATTTTCCAATGATGTTCTTTGTCTATGATCTCAACCTGATCACACAGAGGGCAGTGATCTCCCTTTTCTCTCCATATGTGGTCAGCCATGCCTGATTTTTTCACTTTAGACAGATACTGCTTGACTTTGTTTAGCAACATGTCAACTCCTCTATGGGTTATTTAATGCCAAAATCTAAATGTTTTAAACATATTATTTTCATTGAGGGGGGGTCACTATTTGCCCATAGCTGGGACCCCAACAGCTGCTACAGCAATTAAGAAGCGGTACCACACTCCTCAAAACCTCCAGTCTCTCAATCAGAGGCCTTGCTGCTGGATGTAGTTTATCATCATATCCAGGACTAAATTTAGGAAGGAATGAAGGAGATAAACATTCATCAAATGAATGAGATTGAAGGATAGTTAGGAAGAAAGGAGAAAACATTGAATGAATAAAATTGAAGTCAGATTTCAGAGAGAAAGAAAAATGGGAGGGAGAAAAATAGACTGAATGAATTTGAACTTAGATTTCAGAAGGAAGGAGGGAGAAAAAACATTGAATGAATGAAATTGAAATCAGATTTCAGAAATGAATGAAGTAAGGAAAGACTAAAACACAGACTGAATGAATAACTTTAAAGTGAGAGTTAAAAGCAATTAAAAATGATTTAAACAAAAACTAAAGGTTGCTACAAAAAATAGCAATAATATTCCATCTAACTTCTTTGTTTGAAAGACTTCAGTTAAGTAAAAATACTTTTATGTAAAGAGGCGAATAAATATTTATAAATATGGCACATTATAAATCTCCTTGATTGATGCTATAAACACGGAAAGTAAGATAATAAAAAACTATTTCTCTTAAGGCTGTCAAAATTTTCATGTAAATATATTCAAATGTTTTATTTCATAAATCACTTGAGCATTGGGATTTACATCTTGTTTTCTTTTTCTAAAAGATAACATTCTTTAAAAAATGTTATATTTGCAATATTTTGTCTATGTTTTATTCAAACAATGACAAAAAGGAAGAAGGATAAATTTATTTTAAGCAAATTAGGATTTTATGATAAAATATTGAAATTATTAGGGTATTTCCCAGCATCAAATATACTTTAACCTCAATGATACCCTTTCCCAATTCTGCTCTCGCCCAGAGGATGCACTTTCCCAATTCTGTTCCCGCCCCCGAGGAGGCCCTTTTTCCCAACTCTGCTCTTGCCCTGAGAAGGCCCTTTCCCAATTCTGCTCTCGCCCCAAGGAGGCCCTTTCCCATTTCTGCTCTCGCCCCAAGGAGGCCCTTTCCCAATTCTGCTCCCGCCCCAAGGAGGCCCCCTGTTTCCTGAGGAGGCCCTTTTCCCAACTCTGCTCTCGTCCCGAGGATGCTCTTTCCCAATTCTGCTCTCGTCCCGAGGATGCACTTTCCCAATTCTGCTCTTGCCCTGAGGATGCACTTTCCCAATTCTGCTCTCGCCCCAAGGATGCTCTTTCCCAATTCTGCTCTCATCCCGAGGATGCTCTTTCCCAATTCTGCACTTGCCCTGAGGACGCCTTTTCCACTTACGCTCTCACCTTGAAGACACCTTTTCCAATTTTGGCCTGACCTCAAGATTACCAGACCCAATTCTATTCTGGCCTTCCCAACACCTCTCCTAATATTGTTTTGACTTCATGGACACCCCTTCCAATTTTTATCTTGCCTGTAGGACACCACTTTTCTTAGTTAATTCTTTCATCCTAACTATAAAATATTCAATAAATAAATACATGTCAGATTGTTTAATATCTTTGTTAACTTTATCTGTGTATAGCAGGCAGAGATAGAACAACATACAGTCAGCATGACTTTGACCAGATCACAAGCAAAAATTGAGATATGAGGTTTATCTGATCTGCAAATGATTTTCCTTTACTCTTAGTGCTTCAAATGATTACAATGATGGGTCAGGAATAGTGTCTTCTTACACAGGTTCCATATTTAAATTAAGCAATTTTCTTCTATTTTTATGCTACTTAATGAAGAAACATTGAATGCATCTGAACATCCACACATTTTATGTTATAAGATTATTTGTTTTTCAATAAATTAAGTTCTTTCATTATGAATTAGCATTCTTCATCAAATGATTTTCTAGCATGCTGTGGTGAACAATTATGTAGAAGCAAGCGAATCAAAGTGACTTACATCTGGTGCAAAGCAAAATAAGTTCCTTACCTCAATACCCAACACATAGGAGCAGCATTTTGTTCCTTGAAAATGGCATGAGTCTCCCCTCCCGACTTCAGAGGATTACCAAAGTGTATATTCTGTAATAGTAGCTTTTGTACAACTTAGTGTGTTTCAACCAATAGCAAGTCGCATGCTGATTGGTCAGACTGGAGGATGCCATTTGACTGGGTAACTGAGGACAAAAGCAAAGAATGCTAATTGGTCAGTCAGCCATGGTTTTGGTATGATAAAAGATGACTGAACCAGTGAGAAGGGGAATGATTTTTATGTTGATGACATGTTATGTGGGAAATCAAGAATGGCGGATTGAAAAAAAAGAAGTATTTAGAAGAAGAAACGTCAGAGGAACACAAGCTCATTTACACTATACATGCATTCATGCCAATAGTCAATATCAAGTTGGAATAACAAATATTTATTTTAGACCACAGATTTTAAAACATTGTAACTTGACTCAAACCCAGCATTATTAGTCAAAATGATTATCATCAGAATTGGCCCAATGTTGCCAAAATCTGACAGTGAAGTTATTCCGTCATGGTGAAAACTGGGGAGGGGTAAAGGAATTGACAAACTGTCAGGTGTTTTTAATTTAAAAATTTTTTTGTTTTTTTTTAAAAAAATCATTTCACTCCAAGCAAGGAAATGATGCCATGAGGATGCAGTAGGGGTGGTTACAGGGAGTGAAAGAGAAGAATTTTGTGGAGAGGACTGAGGAAAGGACAATAAAAGAAAAAGATTCAGGAAGAAAGAAGATAGCGATTGATGTTGCATTTAAATTTTCAAAGACCATAGGTGACAGGGAAACAAGAAATCAGAAAAGAGTTCCACTGGTGAGAAGTGTGAGAAAAGAAACTGTTAGAATAGAATAGAACAGTTATTTTAATAATAAAATGCTGAGACCTAGCTACTAGTCTATTAGTACACTTAAATTCATAAAGTTGAAGTACCAAAGGGGAGAGCACATTAGAACAAGTTTCATGAAAATATTTATAGAAAAGACAAAGGGAAGCCATGTCACTGTGGTGGGAAAGTAACTGAAGTTGAGATGCCAGATCAGGACTAATAATATTACACACCCTTTTTTGGATTTTGCTGAGAATCTGTAAATATATATCAGGAGCACCAGACCAGATAGGGAGGTAATATTTAATGCATGGAGGAACAGTAGATTTATAAAAGTGCAAGATGGATTCTGATGAGAAAATTTGTCTGTTATAATAGAGTAAACCAATGTTCGGCAACCTTTGGAAGAGAGAGGTTTAGAAAGTTATGCATTGTCTTGGAGGCAGACCATGATCTCAAATCTATTATAACAAATTGTCTTGATCTCAGACCACTTTGTCCAGAACGCTGCCTTGGTCTGGAAGTTTAAAGAAAAAACAACAAAGTTAATGTTATATTATTTAAACAAGGTTCCTTATTTTACTACAGGATAACAACTGATATGATCAACAAAAAAATGCAAATTCCTTACTACAAAAGAAATACAGTTAGAAATGGTAAATTATTTAGTGAGCCACTTGTTTCTGCTTATTGTTCGATATCTTCTCCACATCAGGTGAAATATTTGTTGATGACAGGAGCAAAACATCATCCAGGTGGCCATCATCCAATATTGTTCTTAAACTATTTTTTAAATTTTCATTTTCAAAAAGTTGTTCATAAGCATATGTACTTCCAAATAATGATACTATCATTTTTGCATTATTTAACAGGCTTTTTTATTTTCCGCTTGGCAAAACATATTTCTCATAGAAGTCAGCAGTGTATTCAGAATTAAATTTTGATTTAAAAAATTTATTGCATTGTAAGTCAATTAACTCCAAATGATATTTTTTCTGCAACTTGCTCCACAAATTAATTACATAATTAGTGTCCAGGTATTAAGCTGGTAGGCCAGGCAAAAATCCTTCATGGGCTGGATGTGGCCTGGGGCTGGGGGTTGCCAACCCCTGGAGTAAACCAACTTTCTATGCTGCAGCCCTAGCAATTGCTTCAATATAATTGCCCCACTTCATGTCAGTGGAAAACATAAGACCAAACTGGCGCAATGAGTTACAATCCTGGACGTAAGCATCAGCAGTATTGATGGAGGGTAAAAAAAGGTTCTCTGTGATTTATTAAAATATGTTAATAAGTGTAATAATAAATAAATTTAAATAAATTTTGTCTTTCTGCCATCTCCCCAAAACCTGCTCCACCATCTATTCACTAATGTAGGTTATGTATTACTTTCCTCTGTCTCTCTTACCTTCAATCTGCCTTGTGTGTATCAAATTTTTCAGGCCCTCTTTCCTCATTATGTGCTCTACAAATGTCAACTGCCTCTTCCTGATGTTAAGTAAAAGAGTCCTACTTGTTGCTATTGTGTCTAGAATTTTGTCATTGCTGAAATGTTCAGTCCATGGAATCCTCAGCATCCTTCTGTAGAAACACATTTCTGTTGCTTCAAGACTATTCTTCATCTGTGAGGAGACTGTCCGGTATTCACTGCCATATAGGAGGAGGACTGATATTATTATTAATAAGACTATTACATCTTATTACTACAAGTTGTAAAGAAGCAAGAGAAATAAGATGAAAGAAATACGAATAAAAAATGAATAATAATGACAATGCTTCATCTAAGGGATTCACACAACTTAAGACTATTACATCTTATTACTACTAGTTGTAAAGAAGCAAGAGAAATAAGATGAAAGAAATACGAATAAAAAATGAATAATAATGACAATGCTTCAGCAAAGGGATTCACACAACTTAACACTATTACATCTTATTACTACTAGTTGTAAAGAAGCAAGAGAAATAAGATGAAAGAAATACGAATGAAAAAATGAATAATAATGACAATGCTTCATCTAAGGGATTCACACAACTTAAGACTATTACATCTTATTACTACTAGTTGTAAAGAAGCAAGAGAAATAAGATGAAAGAAATACGAATAAAAAATGAATAATAATGACAATGCTTCATCTAAAATCTTATTACTACTAGGTGTAAAGAAGCAAGAGAAATAAGATGAAAGAAATACAAATGAAAAATGAATAATGATGACAAAAAAATGAATAATAATGACAATATTTCAGCTAAAGGGATAAGATGAAAGAAATACGAATGAAAATGAATAATAATGATGCTTCATTACTTAAGATCTTATTACTACTAGGTGTAAAGAAGCAAGAGAAATAAGATGAAAGAAATACGAAGAAAAAAATGAATAATAATGACAATGCTTCAGCAAAGGGATTCACACAACTTAACACTATTACATCTTATTACTACTAGTTGTAAAGAAGGAAGAGAAATAAGATGAAAGAAATACGAATGAAAAATGAATAATAATGACAATGCTTCATCAAAGGGATTCACACAACTTAAGACTATTACATCTTATTACTACTAGTTGTAAAGAAGCAAGAGAAATAAGATGAAAGAAATACGAATGAAAAATGAATAATAATGACAATGCTTCAGCAAAGGGATTCACACAACTTAAGACTATTACATCTTATTACTACTAGCTGTAAAGAAGCAAGAGAAATAAGATGAAAGAAATACGAATAAAAAATGAATAATAATGACAATTACTTCAGCAAAGGGATTCGAATGAAAAATGAATAATAAACAATTCAGCAAAGGGATTCACACAACTTAAGACTATTACATCTTATTACTACTAGCTGTAAAGAAGCAAGAGAAATAAGATGAAAGAAATACGAATAAAAAATGAATAATAATGACAATGCTTCAGCAAAGGGATTCTAAGACTGTTGCAAACTTCCTTTTCTCTGAACACTCATGTAAAGAAGAAATTAAAAGCAAAAATCTGTTTATTTTTTGCTACTTCTTTTTATAATCAAGTATTTGACACAGAGCCAAATGTATTTATTTGTTCATATTTATCATTTAAGTTCAACTTTCATAAAATAAAAATATTTCACCTTCAGTTTTTTATCTTTACACTTTTCAGCTGTGTCATGTTTTCAAGTTGACCTTTTTTCTGCTGGAAACTGGTTTACTCCAGGATTTTATTGGAAGACCGACATTTAGGTTAGAAATAGCAAAATGCTCAATCAATCATTTTTATAATCCTGACTTCTTCATCATCTGGTGATCGAAATGAATTAAAATTGCCAAGAATAAAATATATTTTCTAATGTTTCTTGACTATATTCTTTTGTCTGTAAGAAAATCATATCACATATTTATTTTTAAAAGTTTTTTTTTTCTGAAATGCAACCTATTAGTTGATAAGCTCTTATGGTTAGTAGCATGGAGGCAATCTCCCAATGGATGAGGAGAAAACTAGAGGTAGCAGAAATGTGGTTCTACAGAAGGATACTGAGAATTCCATGGACAGAGTGAGCAAACAAGAAGAAAATCTTAAAAAATGGCAACAGAAAGAACACTTTTACTAAGAATCAAGAAAAAACAACTGAAATTCCTTGGATACTTAATGAGGTGGGGGGGTGTCATAAAAATTAACCCATATTGAGGGTAAGATAGAGAGGGGAAGGCAGCTTATCAAAGAAAGAAAAACTGCTAAGAGGCACAAGAGATAGGAAGTTGTGGAAAGCCATGATCACCTGTGACTTTGAAGGGATGCAGCTCATAGAAAAAGAAGCATAAGGCACATTAAAGCTTATATAGCATAAGCAAAAATGATAATATTAAATTCTCAATAACATGACCATTTTTTGCAACTGTAGCAAAGAAAATCTCAAATTACCTCTTCAAACCAAGTGTATTCTACATCAGAGAACGTGGCAAAAAAGAAAGTTACTTACCAAGAAAAAGGGCACAAAATAGAAACAAGTCAGCCATAGGTATTGCCATAAATGTATCTCAGATACAATAATATTGTGTGTTCTCTCCCACTTGTCGACCAATGAATAAATTGTTCCATTGATAAAAGTCGTTGGTGTTCTTAAATTGGGGAGAAAAACAATTTTGTTTATTTTTTTACTTTGTTTGTTGACTGGTATGTTGGATTTCTTTCAGTTTATGCAATTGGGATTTGTGAGGGTGGACCAGTGATCCATGATTTCCACATTTCTTTCTGCCCCTGGATCTAGAGTTTGGATTTGCAATTTGTTTATTTGGTTGTGGAAGTGAGCTGCCAAATCAATTTTATGAACAGCAGCCTCATAGAAAAAGGCTTTGACAAAAGATTGCATTTATAATTCTTCTGAAAAAATTGGAAAAGAATTTACAGAAAAGAATAATCATTCCTTCAACATGTGTAAGAAATTCATACTTAAAGGGGAGGTTGGTTGGTTGGCTGATTTTGTTTGGTGGCATAACAACCTCCATGTGTTATTTAATTTGAAATCTAAATGTTTTGTGTGTAACTTTATGCTTTCAACTAAAGATAGTTTGTACACAATTTTATACTTTCAAGTAAAGGTATGTTTTTTAGATATATATTTTGTAGATCATAAAATGTATTGTTGGTAATTTTTTATATAAAAATGTACTACTGATTTTTGTTTAGAGGTTCACTTTTTGCCCATAGCTGGAACCCTAACAGGTACAACCATCCCAGCACCTGGAGACAACAGCAATTAAGTGGTGGTTCCACACTCCTCAAAACCTCCAATCTCCTGATCAGGGACATTGCTGCTGGATGTAGTTTATCATCATACCCAGGATAAGAAAAGAAAGGTAGAAAAACCTGGTATAGTAGAATATATACAGAGAGAAGAACTTACAATGTCTTTCTCAGAATGAAGTTCAAATAATTTTAGATGGAGCACTGTCTGAGAGAGAGAGAAAATTGAAGGAAGTGGCAGATATTAATCTGTTGGACTGCTGTTTAAGCCAATATAGATAAGTATTTTGATCCACAAAAGAAATGTGCAGTTTATCTAATAATAAAAAGAAGAAAGAAAATCTCTACTTACATAGTTGCCATGACAATTACATATTTGGAGTACTTACCTGAAAAAAGAAAAATTCAAAAAATAAAATACAGAAAAAATTTATAGTTTTAATTTTTTTGATTTGTTTAAAAAAAAGAAAAGAGAAAGGAAAAAAGATGAAAAAGAAAGAGAAAGGAAAAAAGATGAAAACGAATGAAAAAGATGAAAAAGAATGAAAAAAGATGAAAAAGAATGAAAAAGAAAAAAATGAAAAAGAAAAAGATGAAAAAGAATGAAAAAAGAAAAAGATGAAAAAGAATGAAAAAGAAAAAGATGAAAAAGAAAGAGAAAGGAAAAAAGATGAAAAAGAATGAAAAAGAATGAAAAAGATGAAAAGAATGAAAAAGAAAAAAAGAATGAAAAAATGAAAATGAAAAGAAAAAGATGAAAAAAAAGAATGAAAAAGATGAAAAAAAAAAAAAAGAAAAAAAGAAAAAAAAAAGAATGAAAAAGATGAAAAAGAATGAAAAAGAAAAAGATGAAAAAGAATGAAAAAGATGAAAAGAAAGAAAAAAGAAAAAGAAAGAATAAAAAGAACAAAAGAAAAAGTAAATGAAAAAAGATGAAATTCATAGGACACAATGAGGAAAGAAAACTTGAAAAATTTAACACTTACAAGACACATCAAAGTAAGAGAAGCAGAGAAAAGAAGGCTTGAAATTTTTAACACTTACAGGACACATGAAAAACTAGCCACATAGAAGAAAGAAGGCTTGGAGAATTTAATACTAATACACATGGAACAGAACAAAAACACAAGAAAAAGTGGAAACTTCTGCTGAATGATGAACACATTTGTATAAACTCCACAGAGACAAGGTTCATATAGAAGAAAGTATTGCTAAGTGCAACAAAAGATAAGAAGTCGTGGAGAGCCATGATTATCAATGTCTGGAAAGGAAATAAAAAAATTATAGTATATAACACTATATATACTACTTAAAATTAGAAAAGATTATTGTTTCATGAATTTGTGTGCTAGTTCTAAGCACTTAGATTTTCTTTTGGTTATGTTTATTTTAGAATACCTTTCTTCAGACAATTTCAGAACCGTTCAACTTAGTATAGAAAGTTGTTTACTAATTCAACACATGAATTATAAAAAAGAAAATGCTCAGTTATATGACAAAAGTAATTTCACTTTTTTTTAACAAATTCTGTTTATTTTAGGGATTAGTAACCTATAGTCATCAGATATTGTGCATTCACTTTTTCAGTTAGGAAAGGCATGAGACCATCTCTTCTTCCTGACTTCAGCTATACATCCTCTCTCTCTCTCTCTCTCTGATTTTCACATTTTTCTTCTCTTTCTTTCTTGCATTCCTTTCTCTTTCTCTCTCTGAACTTACTCACATTCACTTCTTCTGTCTCTCTCCTCCTGCACTCACTCTCACTTTCTCCCTCTGCACTCACTCACTCTTACTTTCTCTCTTTCTGTATCACTCTCTCTCCCCCACACTCATTCACTCTCTCAAAGAGTTTGCACATGCTTTTTTATCCTTCCTTTCTTTTCCTTATCTGAATTTCTCTTGCACATCTCTCTCTTTTTATCTACTTTTGTATGTGTGTGTGTGTGTGTGTGTGTGGTTGTTTTTTGATTGACTTGTTTCTTTACAGCTTATCAACCTATTGTGGGTTGCTTAAAGCCAAAACATATTTCAGATTGTAGGAGGTCACTTGCAGTAGCTGATGTTTTAAGCAGTGCCCCATAAAAGTACTGACCAGACTCAACACTGCTTAACTGCAGCGATTGGACACAAACTGTGTATGCATGGAGATACCCCAATTTGAAAATAGGCAATGACCAAAATAACAGAAGGACGCTTTTCTATTTTCCAAATATTCCAACTCACAGGACACATTAAAAACCAGAGAATTGGAGAAAAACTGATAATAAACCATTTACTCAGTTTGTAGAAAACAATGGAGGAACAGATTCCACAGATATAAATGGGTTTCATAAAGAACAATGTATTGCTGAGAACAACAAAGATAAGAAGTTGTGGAGAGCCATGATCACCAACATCCAGAAAGAGAAAGAGAAACCAGCCCAAACAAGTTTTAACAAAATTTTATCAATTTTTGTTTTGGTTTCAACCACTTTACTCTATTTTTTTTTCTGCCACTCTATTTCCTCCAATCTCTCCCCCATTGCCACTCTATTTCCTCCAATCTCTCCCACACCTCTCTGCCACTTTATTTCCTCCAATCTCTCTCCCACACCCTCTCTGCCACCAATTTCCTCCAATCTCTCCACACCCCTCTCTGCCCTCTATTTCCTCCAATCTCTCCCACACCCTCTCTGCCACTCTATTTCCTCCAATCTCTCCCACACCCTCTCTGCCACTCTATTTCCTCCAATCTCCCCCACCCTCTCTGCCACTTTATTTCCTCAATCTCTCCCACACCCTCTCTGCCACTCTATTTCCTCCAATCTCTCCCACACCCTCTCTGCCACTCTATTTCCTCCAATCTCTCCCACACCCTCTCTGCCACTCAATTTCCTCCAATCTCCCCCACCCCTCTCTGCCACTCTATTTCCTCCAATCTCCCCACCCTCTCTGCCACTCTATTTCCTCCAATCTCTCCCACACCCTCTCTGCCACTCTATTTCCTCCAATCTCTCCCACACCCTCTCTGCCACTCTATTTCCTCCAATCTCTCCCACACCCTCTCTGCCACTCTATTTCCTCCAATTTCTTTCTGCCCCTGGATCTAGAGTTTGGATTTGCAATTTGTTTATTTGGTTGTGGAAGTGAGCTGCCAAATCAATTTTATGAACAGCAGCCTCATAGAAAAAGGCTTTGACAAAAGATTGCATTTATAATTCTTCTGAAAAAATTGGAAAAGAATTTACAGAAAAGAATAATCATTCCCTCAACATGTGTAAGAAATTCATACTTAAAGGGGAGGTTGGTTGGTTGGCTGATTTTGTTTGGTGGCATAACAACCTCCATGTGTTATTTAATTCCGAAATCTAAATGTTTTGTGTGTAACTTTATGCTTTCAACTAAAGATAGTTTGTACACAATTTTATACTTTCAAGTAAAGGTATGTTTTTTAGATATATATTTTGTAGATCATAAAATGTATTGTTGGTAATTTTTATATAAAAATGTACTACTGATTTTTTTTAGAGGTTCACTTTTTGCCCATAGCTGGAACCCTAACAGGTACTACCATCCCAGCACCTGGAGACAACAGCAATTAGTGGTGGTTCCACACTCCTCAAACCTCCAATCTCTCCCACACCCTCTCTGCCACTTTATTTCCTCCAATCTCTCCCACCCTCTCTGCCACTCTATTTCCTCCAATCTTCCTCTGCCACTCTATTTCCTCCAATCTCTCCCACACCCTCTCCCCTACTATTTCCTCCAATCTCTCCCACACCCTCTCTGCTACTTTATTTCCTCCAATCTCTCCCACACCCTCTCTGCCACTTTTATTTCCTCCAATCTCTCCCACACCCTCTGCTGCTTTTATTTCCTCCAATCTCTCCCCACCCTCCTCTGCCACTTATTTCCTCAATCCCCACCCTCTCTGCCACTCTATTTTCCTCCCAATCTCTGCCACTTTTTTTTCCTCCAATCTCTCCCACCCCTCTCTGCCCTTTATTTCCTCCAATCTCTCCCCACCCTCTCTGCCACTTTATTTCCTCCAATCTCTCCCCACACCCTCTCTGCCACTTTATTTCCTCCAATCTCTCCACACCCTCTCTGCCACTTTATTTCCTCCAATCTCCCCACCCTCTCTGCCACTTTTATTTCCTCCAATCTCTCCCACACCTCTCTGCCCTCTATTTCCTCCAATCTCTCCCACACCCCTCTCTGCCAATCTCTTATTTCCTCCAATCTATTTCCTCCCACACCCTCTCTGCCACTTTATTTCCTCCAATCTCTCCCACCCTCTCTGCCACTTTATTTCTCCAATCTCTCTGCCACTTTTATTTCCTCCAATCTCTCCCACACCCTCCTCTGCCACTTTATTTCCTCCAATCTCCCCACCCTCTCTGCCACTTTATTTCCTCCAATCTCTCCCACACCCTCTCTGCCACTTTTATTTCCTCCAATCTCTCCCACACCCCTCTGCCACTTTATTTCCTCCAATCTCTCCCACACCCTCTCTGCCACTTTATTTCCTCCAATCCACACCCTCTGCCACTTTATTTCCTCCAATCTCTCCCACACCCTCTCTGCCACTTTATTTCCTCCAATCTCTCCCACACCCTCTCTGCCACTTTATTTCCTCCAATCTCTCCCACACCCTCTCTGCCACTTTATTTCCTCCAATCTCTCCCACACCCTCTCTGCCACTCTATTTCCTCCAATCTCTCTCCCCCTCTCTCTCTCTTATGGAAGTGTATGTGTGTAGAAAAACCCCAATTTGAAAATAAGCCAAAATGCAAATAATCAAACAACACTTTCCCATTTTCCCGCATCGATATGAATGAAAGAACTTATATTCCAAAATAGTTTTCAAAAATTAGCCATCAGATAAAAAAATACCAACAAATTTAGCTGCACAAACAGCTGCACATTTCAAAATGAGATATTTAATCATAACATTAAGACAAAAACTCAAAATATATATCAGAGAGAAATTTTGGAACAGAGAGACTACATGAGTATTGCAGATTTTCAATTTTTTTTTTTTTACCATTTCACTCCAAGCAAGGCAATAAATCACCTATGATACAAAGTATTACTGAGTGTGAGAGAATATGAGAAAAAAAGCACATTATTAATGCTGGAGAACAATAAAAGAACAGAAATTAATAAAACAGAAAATAACGTTTGACATTGTATTTAAATTTTTGAAGATCAAATTTGACTGGAAAGCAAAAAACTGGAAGATAGTTCCACAAGCAAGAAGTGCGAGAGAAGAAACTTAACATAGAACTTATAGTTACATTTTTCCATTTCAACAGTAAAATGATGAAACTTTGTTGCCAATCTAGTGACATGCTTAAATTCAAAATCTAGGTAACATAAAGGAAAGTACATCAGAACAATTACCTTGAAGGTATTTATAGAAAAGGCACAGGGAAGCTACATTACAAAAGTGGAGAAGTAATCAATGCCGAGATGCCAGATCAGGACCAATAACATTGCTGATTTTTCTTAGTATTTTATTAAGTATCCCTAAATAGTATAGTATAAATCATCAGACCAGATGTGGCAGCAATACTCAAAGTAAGGATGAGTAGTAAACTTATAAATGCATAAAACAGATGCATGATACAATGAAAACAACTTTCCTAGCTGAAGAACTAGCAATTGATTCAATATAATCTTTCTGCTTCATGTCAGCGGAAATCAATCATCAAATATCCCATCTATTGTTCTCAGCTTTGTTATCACAGAGGTTATTATGAACACGTTTCAACCAAATTCTCTCTGGCTATCAGCAGGTGTCCACCATCCATTTTTGGGATATCTGTTGATTATAGAGTCATTGTATTTCTGTAATGCCAGTTACTGTCCATTCCTGGATGTGTGGTTAGTGTAATAGCAGCTTGGAATGAGAAATCAGAGAGACGAGTTCAAATTCCAGTCAGGTTCATTACATTCACTTACATACAAATATCCTTGAGAATAATATGAATCCATCTCATCCCCCAGTTACGGATTAAATAGTAGGTATTGTATCTGAAAAAAACCATTGCTATTCTTTAAAAAAATTGTTAATGTAATATTTACTAATAAAAAAAAAGAATTATTTATTCGTACAATTTCAGACATAAGTTAGTTTTAAATGACCCACAAAGGGTTGATAAGTTATTAAAAAAACAAAAAACAAATCAATCATTGCTGCTGAACTAGGAATTGAACTTACAACCAGTAGATAACAGTAACACATTTTTAATCAATCTTATAATTGTCAGTATCCTTTAATTATTTCAAACTTTTAAATTATCAGCCGAATAATGGAACCTGATGATGGCCAAAGGGTAGTTGGCTGAAATGTTGTGTCTATAATAACATCAATTACAACCAGACTGAGAACAATAAATTGAAATAATTAAAGTATATTGACAATCGTTTCAAAATGAAATATATAATTATCTCAATAATGAAAACTCGTCAGGATAACCAAATGGCAAAACCATTTGATACTGAAAATAAAGACTCCAGAAATACACTTTCAGGATGGTGGCATAGTGGATATAGGAGTTGGTTATACATGTATTATTGTCATCTAATGTTTGTGAGTTCAATTCCTGGATCAGGTAGTGAAACAATGGGTTCAAAAGAATGAACAATAACTGACATCACAGGGACAAAAATGACACAATACTCAACAGATATCATATATCAGCCAAACAATGGACACCTGATGATGGTCAGAGAATACTTGGTTGAAACACTGTGTTGGTAATAACATTATTATCAATGAAGATGAGAACAATAGTTCAAAATAATAAAAATATATTTGACAATTCAGTCAGTCATTTAAGTGCCATACGTGATACATGCTTGGGCGATCACGTCTCTTTCGATTCATGACTGACTAGGCAAAAATTTTCCTGCAGCAGGTTGCCATTTCTTTCTGCAGTAGACAGGTTGCCAATTGAGGCAATAGGACCCAGTCTGTTTTGCTATTCAACCCATAGCTGGAAGGAGAAGAGATGGATTCATACCTTTCCCAAGGGTATTAGTGCATAATGAATATAATGAACCTGACAGGAATTTGAAGTTGGCCCTCTGAGTCCCAATTCTGACTCGTTATCCATTACACCACAACACACATAATATTTACAATTACTCATTTGAAAAATGAAAATACAAAGTGAGAATTTCTTTAGAATTATTCTTTAACATTTAGCATTCTGCATTATTCATATTACTTCTTTTTCTATTGCATTCTTTTTCAATGCCTCTCAATTACAGTAACCTTATTGTTAATTTCACTCAAAAGTGTGTTCTGTTGCCATAGCAGGATATGATAACACAACTATGAAATCCAAATAAATTCAAATTCAAGGATCAGAATCATCTTCAGTTGCAGGATAAACTTTCTGCACAGAAAATGAAGTCACAGAGTGAAAAGATTAAAGCAGCAACAATATCAGCAATTAGATTCCTACCTTTTTCTTGGAGAAAACAATAACCAAAGTTAAGCTACGTCAAGTCTGGTCAGAACCTAGTTGGGTGACCACTTGGGAATACAAGGTGCTGTAGGCTTGAATGTGCAGGCAGTGTAATGGATAATGGCTTGAGATTGTTAATTGGAGAGCCAAGTTTCAATTCCCAATACTCACTTACATGCAAATACCTTTGAGAAAGGCATTAATCCACGTCTTTTCCCTCCAGCTATGGGTTAATTAGTAAGACTTGTATCACTTAACCATTATCATTTCAAAAAAATATTCTTCAAAATCTAAATTTTAAGAATATTTTCTGTCTTTAAATAACTTTCAAAGGATTGATCCATAAATCATTATCTACAAAACATTCTTAGAACCTAAAAATATTTTCTGGCTTTAAATAACCTACAAAGGGTTGACAAGCCATAAAAAAAACCAAATCAATGCATCCACCAAGCAGAGTCAGGATGTAAGAAAGTGAAAAGAGAATGATTGACTGATTTTAAAAAAAAAAAGAAAAAGAAAAGGAAAAAACAAACAGAAAAGAAAAATGAAAGAAAAGAAAAAGAAAAGTGAAAAAAGAAATAAAAAGAAAAGGAAAAAACAAAAAAAGAAAAGAAAAAGAAATAAAAAAGAAAAGAAAAAATAAAAAGAAAAGAAAAAAAGAAAAAAGAAAAAGAGAAAAAAAGAAAAAGTAAAGAAAAAGAGAAAAAAGAAAAAGAAAAAAGAAAAAGAGAAAAAAGAAAAAAGAAAAAGAAAAGAAAGAAAAAGAGAAAAAAAGAAAAAGAAAAGAAAAAGAGAAAAAAGAAAAAGAAAAGAAAAAGAGAAAAAAAGAAAAAGAAAAGAAAAAGAGAAAAAAAGAAAAAGAAAAAAGAAAAAAAAGAAAAAGAAAGGAAAAAATAAAGAAAAGAAAAAGAAATAAAAAGAAGAAAAATGGATAATTAAAAAGTTAAGTTGATTTAATCAAAGTGTCATCAAATTAGTAGGAAACCTGATTTAATTAGGGGAAATCAGATAAATTGAAGATATTCTTTTTCTTTATGCATACCAGTAGCATGCAGAAGGTGCAAAGACCCCAGGCATCCATATCAGGAGGGCATCCAATCAAAGAATGAAATAAAAATTAATTTTAGAAATCGTATCTTAACTTCATAGTACAAGCGCCCTACAGTCCCTGGTGTGAATGTGGATCTGTGTTTTGATAAGTGAAACCGGAGTAGGCTCCTCCAACTCGAGTCTTAGGGGCATACAGTCAAGGAGTTGGCCTTAAGCATCACCACACCTCTGCACACCATTGATGCATACTCTCTTGGCATACATTAGCATTTTGACCATGAGACATTATAAAAATAAGAAGCTATTTTGAATCATTTGTTTAGTTCAAGGTTGGACAAACTATGACCCACATGCTGTCTGCCTGAGGATTTTATGCAAACCACAAGAGCAAAACATTGTTTGTTTGTTTGTTTTAAACATCTGTAAATAGATTTTGGTATTTTTTAGTTCCATATTGCACAAAAGTTATTTACATAAAAAGAAAATGTTTTTAAAAAAAAAAAATTAAAAAAAAATCAAATATTCTAATTTTCTGAATTGTCATTGTACTGTTAAAACCTAAACTCAATTAAAAAAAGATCCCAACTTCATCACTGGCCCAAAATAGCAACAGTAAATATTTTCCACACAAAAAAATATTTAAAAAATCAGGAATACTATTTTAAAATAAGAATATTGAAAGAAGCAAAACATTCAGAAAAGTAAGCAAAAATAAAAATCGCTTGCTTAGACAAAATAACAAAATTGAGAAGAAAGAGCATTACAATTCTAAGATTCTATAAATCACAATTTTCATGTAAAGCTTAAGAAATAAGAAAAACCGTTAATAGAAGAAAATTTTAGAAAAATACACACCCATAATTCTATTCTTTTTTGTCTGGTATTCCCACTATATATCTCGAGATTCTTGACAAAATCCAAAGAAGGATCTGTAATATTCTGATCCTGACCTGGCATATTCAGATCCTGACATTATGTGGCATCTGTCTGTCTTTTTGTCATTCACTATATTCTCAAAATTGAGGATTATGTATTCGATCCTGACCTGGCATCTCGATGTCTTTTTTTTGTCTGGTATTCTTTTTTTGTCTGGTATTCCCACTATATATCTTGGGATTCTTGACAAAATTCAAAGAAGACTGATCTTGACCTGGCATCTCAACTTCAATCACACCAACATGACATGTTTTCCCTCTGTCTTTACAAATATTTTCATGGCACTTGTTCT